CCAATACAGATTTATGATTGAAATCATTAAGCAAATGAACCATCTGTTGAAATGATACTAAGAAAATCTTATTTGATTGTAAGTCTCTACATTCCTCCATATCTTTTCCTAAATAAATTGATAATTTGTTACAAACTCTCTAAATTCTTACTTATATCAATCTAAATCATTTCAGGGTAATGTAATTAATTATATTGAATCCAACTAACGAAAAAAGTAAGGGGTCTTATGTTTCGGATTTACAATTGTTTTATTTTGACTCACTTATTTCGATAATTTTTATATTTCAAATATTTTCAGGTATACATTGAAGGATACTTGGTGTAAGTTGTAAAGAATATGAAGTTGTTTCTTTATTTTGTGTATGTGTGTATTTTTTGTGTTCCGTCTTTTGTAAAGTTAACTAATTATACATAATTATGATGATTTTGAGTATGGAATGATGGTTGTTTTGGTGGTTTGGGTATGTAGTGATGATTGTAAGTTTTGTAGGCAGGTTTATATTTTTCTGTATATCTATTTTTAAAGGAAATTCTGCATAAATTTCTTGAAATTAGTAGGGATTAACTTGATGTTTTGGTGGTTGGATATGTGTTGATGATTGAATATGTATTAATTATTGTGGTGGTATGGTAAATTATGATAATGTTATGGTAAATTAGAGTTTTAATCTAATTTTTCGTTACGCCGTGCCTTCAGGCACGGGCAATTACTAATATATTTATATTTTTTAAAAATAAAAATTTAAAATTAAAATTAAAGTAAAAAAATAAAATTAAAATTTTAAATTAAAATTAAAATAATTTATTTTTAATTTTTCCAGGCACAAAAAAAAATTTAATCATTTTTATTTTCTATTCATCTTACCAAACATAAAGAAAGGAAAATGTATTATTACTATTTTCCTTTCCTGAAAGATAGAAAATGTTTTCCTCATACTTTCCATCTTTCCTATCAAATTGAGGTTTTTTTTTTTTACAAATTTTAAGATTTTTATTTTGTACCCTTAAATATTAAATTTTTTACATTGAATACTTAATATATTAAAAATATTATAATGGCATCCTTTTGTTAGCTTTTTGTTATTTTTTTTTGTCAAAAGTCAATCCATTGACACTGACATAAAATTTAATGAAAAACTAACAGAAGGGCCACATTGTAATATTTTTTACACATTGAGGGTGTAAGGTGAGAAATTTAATATTTTAAAGTAAAAAATAAAAATCTTAAAATCTTTCAAAGGATAAAATACAATTTGCCCAAATATTAATATTCTAAACTTTCAATAACTTGACAAAACATAACATTTTAATTCACAACGCCATGAATGTTTTTTAGTGTGTAGACATATTTTTTGTTTGATTAATGTTCAAGGTGACATATTGTAAATGCAAGAACATGGGCAAACGAATAGTCCAAAGTTTGGGCATAATTCACACCTCCAATTTTTTTCAAACACAGCTAGATGATAAGGATTGTGTGGCTAACAATAACGCAATGTCATTTCAATCCAATCGTTTGCAAACAAGGGATTTTGCTTTTATCTATTTATACGAATTGGATATAAAATCAAAAATAATAGAATTGATTAACACGAATAATAAATGTATTAGATTAAAATTAAATAAAAATAACATGATTAAGGTATATTGTAAGAAAAAACAATTACTTTACACTAGTTATTGCTTGTGCCTGAAGATACAAAGTAATTAAAAATAATAAATAATAAACATATTTGTATTAATATCTAAAATTAAATCACAAGCATAAAGAAGAGATAAAAGAATTTAAGTATCGATTTATAGTGTGGGTGAGAGGTGGTGGTAGGAGATGGTGATGGTTGTGATAAGCAGCAATGACCGTGTTGACAGTGATGATGGTGGGGGCGTGGGCGATAGTAAAGGTAGTGGTGGTGGTGGCGACGGCAGTGGCAATGGTGGTGATGGCGGCGGCGAGGTTGATGGTGATGGTGGTAGAAGTAGTGGTGAGACGGTTTCAAATACTATTTTTTTTTAATTATTTATGAGAAATAGTTTCTAAAAGTATTTTTAAAAAATCACTCAAAACACACCCTTAGGGCCTATTTTTGCTTTTAAATTTAAGATGTTTATATTAGTCGTTAGATTAATTTTAAAATAAAATTTAAAGTGATTTCAACCGCGAATAACAAAAGTCATTTTATTTATCTTTTGAAATTTGAATTATAAGCTACTTTATTGTATAAATTTAAATTCTTTACACAATAGCAGATAAATTGTTTTAAAATTAGATAATTTTTAATCGACACCGATTAAAATGAAACGCGTCAACAATGCAAAAACAAAGAACACAGAGGCCTCAAATTAGATGACCCTGTCAATTTACTATATTAGTAGCATATAAATATCTGTTTGGTGAGTCCAATGTGCTTCCCAAACAGCATAAAGCTAAGGTTATAGTCAATATATATATATATATATATATATATATATATATATATATATATATTGCCAATTTTTTATTACTAATTATAAATATTCCTTATAATTTCTCTAGTCTTGACTCGAATGAGCTGTCTTTGATTGAACAAAGGAAGAGATTAGTAAAGGTTAATGTAAACCGATCCGAATACCATTAATTGTAATACTTTAAGAAAAAAATTTAGTATAACAATGAACTCAAGTGAGTTTGAAAAATCTAACTTAATAACCACGCCTAATAATTTTTTTTTGTCCCAGCCCACTCTTCAAATTGATTTTTTTTTTTTTTAAAAAAAAATTTTTGGGGGAGAGAAGGGAGGGGGATTTGAACCTTTAACCTCAAGAAGACAAAATCTTCACAAGCTAAGGAGTACCATTAAACCAAAGACCCATTGATACCAAATTAATTAATAAGGGCCATGGTCTCGTAGCTTAACATTATTATTGGTGGGTGCCACATGTTCGTCTACGGTATGATTGAGAATATATTGTGTCAATGTCGTATTTGTATTGTTTTAAAATTTAGTCACTCATATATAATGTATAGTTTTACGTTGTGTATACTTAGATTTATATCAACTCGTATATTTCTAAATACTTAACCCGATTGTATCTCAATCTATCAATACAAAACTGATGTCAAATAACTTTATATTGACTTCATATAAAACTAATCAATCATGTTAAGAATTATTAGCACCATGTTGAGGGGAATTATATATGCAATGGATGCAATTTTTTACTGTTTTTCTTTTACCTCCTTAAAATATTTGTTGAGCGTTTGTGGAGACTAGTTTGTGTGTTGATGATCCAAATGATAATCCGATCCGAAATAATGTTGCGTGATTTTTAATAAGAAATTTTCTAAAATTTAGTCTATAGAGTGAAGGTTTGGGCTGATGATGACCCGATTAATTTTTTTTTTTTGGAGCTTGTTTTGTAGCCCGATACGCAGGACATATAAAAACCGCTACTTTGGTGTCTAGGGTTTGATTGTAACTGAAAGCCGTCATCTGTATTCCGCTCTCTCAATAGTGAAATTCTTGCAGTTTCGTGAACGTAGGCAAATTGTCGAACTACGTAAAATTTTTGTGTGTTGTTCTTTCTTATTTCTTATTATTTTATGTTCTTAATTTGTTTTTCGATTATGTGTGTTTGTTTATGTATTTAAAACGTGTTAAATCCCAACAAATACTACTTATAAGAATACTTAAAAGACTTTATGAAAGAGTCACTAACAACTCTATAAAAGAAAATGTAATATAAGCTTATCAAAACTATAAAACAAATACTACTTGTAATATAAGCGTATCAATACAATGATATAAAAAATTTCTCTCTTTCATCTTAGGGGCTAAGAACGTGCCACCAACTAGAAACAACGAAAGGAGACATTTGGTTTGCTTGATGAATAGTTAATAATTTTTCTTAATTAATTAAAGTCAACTTGCCTTTACCTAGTTGATAAGTGTAATCTATGCTAAACACATGAATTTTTTTTTCGTTGATCAAGAGTGTCTTGATTAATTTATGCGCACCTCGATTAATCTTTTTTTCGGTCCAGTTAAAGACAGACCATCTATATCGAAATTAGAATATATATTTATGAAAAATAAATTTATCGTAAACACATGAATTTGTTCTTGTTAATCAAGCAACCAACAAAATGTGCATGCATTATAGTTAATCATACATTTGGTGTCTATCACTTACTTCTTAAGAGTGCGTTGCAAATAATACACAAACTTCTCACACTTTGTATGATTTTTTTATAGACTTATATCTAAGGGAAAAAAAAAACCTCCACTAAGCTTTTACAACGTTTATATGCTCACAAAATTCTAGAAAGAACATAGACGTTTGAATATTGAGAAAATACACTTAAATCGATGGTAAAACTTAAAAGGAGCTTGGTTGTAATTTTCAGATAAAGGAAAACAAAATCACATCTGAGGGACAAAATGACATAATCTTTTCATTCAATTTATGACAAACTTCTCTAACTATGATCATGTGAATTAAATAATTATCATTAAATGTGTAATGCGAGTTTTTTTTTTTTTTTTTTAAAGTTCAACATGTAAAAGTATTTGATTCAATTTATACGTATTTCAACTAATTTTCTCTTCAGTTCGGTAAAAAATTGACCATTCACGTTAAGAATAAAATATTCACGAGAGATAAATTTTTTATGACTTCTCCTTAAAAAATTATCAAATTTTAAACTCAAAATATCTAAATTTAGGACTCATTCTTATTATCACTTGAACAAACTTATAATATTATTTTGTTTAGAGGTATCAGCTCTGATCTATTAATACAAATCTTACACGAACGATTATAAAATTGACACGATTATTAAATAAGTATAATAAATAGTTTAAACTAATGTTTAATATTTTGAATACATTAAATAAATTTTTTTTTCATAAATTTTGGTACAAATAATAATGACACGATACGAATAACACACAAATCCGACAGGATAGAAACATCTAATTTTGTTGGCAACTCCAGAGGACAATACAAGGAGGGGGGCACATGATGGGGGTCAAAGTGACATTATTAAAACTGTAAGGGCATAAATCATGCGCCAAATGTTTGACCCAGAAAATAATGCCACGTGTGGTATCAGACGTTAAGTAAAAAGTCTTAAAAGCACTTTAACTACCAGACAACCAAGCGTTCAGATACTCCTATTTTCTCTACACTCTGCACAGGCTTGTCCAGCATTTTCATAGACCATCAGAAGTCGTGTCAGCTCTAAAGAAGAAGATGAGGGTTTTCTCATATCTCAACAGAGCTATCAATGGCTACCCTTCTTGCTCAAAGCTCTTACTTGTTTTCTCTGTCAGGTTCTGATTCCTTTTATTTCTTGATCAGACGACCCTGTTCTCATTTCACTCTAATTTTGCTCACCTTGTGTGATTGTTTAATGTTTATGAGGTTTTGGGTTCACCTCCATGGATTTTGTTTTCCATAATGGAGAATGTAGTCTTCGTAATTCTACACTCTAGGGCTACTCCAAATGATTATGATTGCGAAATTTACACATAAGAAATCCCAAAAGGATTTTTTATATCCGGAAAGTCACATAAGAAACCAGGGCTATTGCTCTGTTGATTTCTGCAATTGATGGTGCTCATTTTTAATAAATTGGTATTCTATGCTTAAATGTTTAAAGAGAAAGTGAGGCAGGGTTATAAGCCTCTGCAGTACCTTAAAATGAATTTGTAGAGGTGTTTAGAGTACCGTTTAAAAAAAGGGAATCTGTCGGAAAAGAGGGACCTACAAATGGTCAAAAATCCTAAGAGACAATTTTAAGACTTACAAATGGCCTACAGAGTGAAGTGCGAACAAGGATCCACTTGGCTGTCCCTGATGGTTTCAACTCAAGATTGTTTACTTCCAAAAAATTAATGAAACTACTATCGATGAAGGGGAGTACTATAGATTTTTGACCAAAGATGTTGGCCTTTTGTTTATTCTGACTATAGGAGAAACATGCTGTTTTACTTTCCTAAAGATGGAAGAGAGGTGAAACAGTGTTATAAACTCTTAGACTGTTTTTTCAGGGACTTTAAAACTTACTTCATGTAGCACCTGATATTCTAGGAATACATGTTTGTGCATGTGTATGTATATGTCTATGGATTAACGAAGCACTGGACTATGGCAAAGTCATGTCTTTAAATGGCGTTATGTCGACACAAGTTGTAGAGATATTGATGTGCAAGAATTCATTAGATTTCTACCTATATAGTATTTTGAGAGAATTTCTCGCAGTGAAGGTTGCAATATGCATGTAAGAAAAACTCTCACCGTGAATTCCCAGTTGATCTACAGGCCAAAACGAGCGACCAGTGGCTATCACTATGTCAGGAAAGATTTGGATGAAAGTGCCATGACAGGGACATTAAGAAAGTCGCAGGACGTTCACCCTTTGATTGACATTGTTGAAATAGTCTTTCCCAGTGGAACCAAAATTTAATTTTGAAATTTGATACGTGAGGCAAAGCCATTACCTCTGTACGGTTAATTTTTTGCCTCAGCAGTACTTGAGAAGATCTTCAGTTCTTTGTGGAAAATCCATGAAAACATTGGGTACTCCCTACTTAAACCTTTCAAAGGAGGGAAAAGGTAGTAAGTTACTTGCCAAAGGTGATTCAATTGATAATGGTTGAAGCCTTAAGTCATAATGTCTTGTTTAGATAAACACAATTGTACTTCTTAATTTATTGAAATTTTTTACGTTGAAGCAACCATCTGGAAGGTTTAAGTGAGAAGGAAGAAGGGGAGAGAGAGAGGAAAAATAAGACAAGGTGTTACTGCTGAAGAGAACCAAAAATTAGGGCTCTTTCTTTCTCTTAAACTATTATTTGTATTAACTGAAGGTAAGATTATTGAATTACATATGTACCCTTGTACATAGTAAAATAAAATGGATTCAACTTGTTAATATATTTACGTTTAAAATATATGGTTGACAGAGTAACCTTAACACTTAACACGGATAATGATAATTTGAGATGAGAAACAAGGCAAATATTGCATATTTGTTGCTTTGATCACTTTATCTGTCTATTTTCCTAAAAATGCCACCAACTCCATTGATTGGCCCCCACTGTTATCGTATGAGCTGTTGTTTAGATAACTGATCATGTTTGTGTGCTGTTCAGGGCATGTGATAAACATAACAGCTATGGTATTTCAGTGGGTTGACCATTGAGATGGAAGATTCCTCGGCTTTTTTTGATTGTCTCTTGTGCTGCCCCAGATGTTCTGATTTGTAGTGTTGTGTCCACCTCTGGTGGATTGCACTTCTTTATATAGTATGTTGATTATTGCAGTTGTGGAGGTCTTGTGGCATATGCAGACTCACAATCTGACAGTGGAAGACATAGTGTCGAACCTAATCAAATAGAACCTAGGAAGAAGAGAGTAGTTGTGCTTGGAACAGGATGGGCTGGTACCAGTTTCCTGAAGGATTTGGATGTTTCATCATACGATGTTCAGGTGGTCTCCCCTCGGAATTATTTTGCATTCACGCCTTTGTTGCCTAGTGTCACATGTGGAACAGTTGAGGCACGAAGCATTGTCGAGCCAGTTCGGAAACTAGTAAAGAAGGTAACAGTTTTTAAAGTAGAATCTTGTTAAAGTGCATGCATGTTGTAAAAAATGACTTGCATACTCAAAGTTGCTGGTTTTTATTATTGATGTGTACTGGCTACACACACTTCATAAAAGGTCAAAATATAATTGAACTCTATAGCAACTACACATTCAAATTTTCCACTTATTATCCCTGGTACTTCCTATATTGTGGTTACTTACTGTCTAATAATGACTTTTTTATGTCTTTGTTCTAGGGCCTTGTTGACCTTGATTTGAGTATAATTTTACTCTATTTTTCTGAGGAATTTTGGTAATGGTTTTTTAATTTTCTTGACAGAGAGGCGGAGACATTCATTTCTCAGAAGCAGAATGCCTCGAGATAGATGCAGGAAACAAAAAAATTTTATGTCGTTCTAATTTCAATGAAAACTTAGTGGGAAATAATGAATTCTTTCTGGAATATGACTATTTAGTTATTGCTGTAGGATCACAAGTAAATACTTTCAACACCCCTGGTGTCTTGGAGTATTGTCATTTTCTGAAGGTAAAGTCTTCTCTTGGAGTTGACATTATGATCAATAGTTTGTGATAACACGATAGTTGCTACAATTTTTCTTAACATTTCTTTGTGAGGATTAACTTCGCTTACATCTCATGCAGGAAATAGAGGATGCTCAAAGGATCCGTGAAACTGTAATAGATTGTTTTGAAAAAGCTGTCCTTCCAGGGCAGAGTGATGAAGAGAGAATGACAAACCTCCATTTTGTAATAGTTGGTGGGGGTCCAACTGGTGTGGAATTTGCTGCTGAGCTACATGACTTTGTCCATGAAGATTTAGTTTACCTATATCCTACAGTTAAAGATCTTGTGAAAATATCGGTCATCCAATCTGGAGATCATATCTTGAACACGTACGGATATGGATTTTGTAGTTCAAGTTTTCATTCCTTTGGGCGTTCTTAGTTTCCCCAATTACTTCGATGCTTGTGTGCCAGATTTTTAAGTCCCATATCATTCATGGTGTGTAAATGTTTTAGCTTAAGTTGTATGAGACCTTCAATTATTACATTGGGATTCTCTTGCTTCAATTTGGGCGTCTGCCTTTTTTACTACTAGGTATGACCCAATATAGAGTGGATGTCCAAACCAGTGGAGGCGCCCCACAGATATCAAGCTTTTTATGCATATATTGTACTCTGAAGTAGATGAGCAACATGTTTTCTGATTCTTTGTCAGTTTGTGGGTTTAGTTCTAAGCTTTTCGCCTCAGTTGCCTCTAGAGTAACTTAATTTTATTTTCTGTTATTGCACGATGAATTAGTTTCTGTCAATCAGTTTGGCTCATGTAATTTATTGTCTGCCATCATTTCTCCACTCTGCAAGTGTATGGGAATGAAGGGGACATTACAACTTAACAATTGAGGAAATTTTGTTTCTCCGTGTCTTTGTAGGTTTGATGAAAGAATTAGCTCATTTGCTGAACAAAAATTCCAGAGAGATGGTATTGATGTTCTAACAGGATGCCGGGTTGTTAGTGTTTCTGATAAATTGATCAACTTGAAAGTGAAATCTACAGGAGTGGATACTTCCATTCCCCATGGGATGGTTTTGTGGTCAACTGGGGTTGGAACTCGCCCAGTTGTAAAGGATTTAATGCAACAAATTGGCCAGGTTTGCTTGTTATGTTCCCTTTGCTTTGATGCTTATTAGTGTGCTTGCTGCGTGCTCAATTGTCTACAGTTATTATTTTGCAATATATGCAGTCTTAGGAAGTTTACAAACTGGTGAATGTTGGGTGTTTTTTTTTTTACGCAGGGTAATAGACGAATTCTGGCGACTGATGAATGGCTGAGAGTAAAGGGATGTGAAGATGTATATGCTCTTGGTGATTGTGCCACCGTAGCTCAACGTAAAATCATGGTATAAAGCCTTTACCTCATTTACTGTCTTCCCTCTTCTAAAGGACGTAACTGATCGATGCACAATTTGGAGGGGTAAATCATTACCTATCCATCTAATCACAGATTCGGCAAACTTTGTTGGTGACTTGATCGGGTTTGCTCTAAGTTGTCTTGCTCATAGTTATTAAAACCGGACTGGACCGGCTGATCGGCCGGCAAACCGGTGAAGAGGTGCCTAAGCTGGTCCGGTTCTTAAATTAGACCATCTAAGCACTGACCCATCTAAATTCCATTTAGACCGGCCAGTTTTTATTAAAATCAGTTGGAGCGGGCTAATTTTATGGAACCAGTTTGTTATTAATTTAACATATTTTGATTAATTTCAAAGAAGGGCTCAATGGCTTGCCATGTACTCAAGGCTCAAGCCACCAAAGTGAGCTGCTACACTTCCGTTTTTCAAGCTAGAAGGTAGGCGGCCACACTTTTTATCCGCTACAGTGCCCTGGTTTCCACTTGAGACTTCCGATGTGGGATAGAGAACTCTTTTGCCTTTTTTTTTTGTTGTTCTTATGTTTTGTTATGGCTTTTTTTTTTTAGCTTTTTCTTTCTTCCATTCTTTTTATACTTTAAAGTCTCTTGTTGTAATTTTTGATGCTCTTTTAAATTTGATAAAGTAACTAAAAACATTAATAATTTGAGAATTTTTTTTATACTTTTATTTGATCTACTATTATATTAAACATGTTATTAGCATATTAATTAATTTATTTTATTTTTTTATTATACGACCGGTTCGACCAATTGACCTAATGGTTGAGTCAGTGAACCATTAACCCAGTCCCCTAGCCGGTTCAATGACCGGTCCAGTGGTAAGAGGTCTTGCTAGTTGACCTTGCTCTGTCAAATATCACCCACACTTGTAGCCACTGGACTTTATCATAAGACTTACATAAATTAATCTATTGTATATAAGTATATGTGCAATTGTATGCACGCACACATGGACATGCATATATGGTTTGAACACGAAAGCCACCATGTGCATCATAGACCCAAGTGGTATTTTGTGGAGGTTTCTATATCCAAGGTGAGGAGTCTTAGTTCCAACTACAGGAACAGAATGCATTTTTAAAATTGGTTAAAAATGAATGTATAATGTTTTCAAAACCAAGGGGAGAAAACAACTATACCAAAATATTTGCCAATATAACATGTTATTTGATTGAGGATTGTATCCTTGTGCATTTGTGTTTACTAACCAGTTGTCACAAAATTGTTCAAAATTTCTATAGTCTATCCTGCGGATAATTGGATTGTTTCTTTTGCAATATTGTATACTTTTAATTAATTAAATATCCTTGTGTTTTAGGAAGATATTCTCAGTATATTTAAGGCTGCGGACAAGGACAACTCTGGTACCCTAACTATTGAAGAATTCAAAGATGTGGTTGAAGACATTATTATTCGGTACCCCCAAGTGGAGCTCTACCTAAAAAGAAAGCATTTGTTTGATGTGATGGATCTACTCAAAGATTCTTCTGGAAATGATAGAAAGGAAGTAGACATTGAAGAGTTTAAACTAGCCCTTTGTCAGGTGGATTCACAGGTGAAGAGTCTTCCTGCAACTGCTCAGGTATGTGCTTTCCATTATATTTTCTTGTTAATACTAGAAATGTAAATCCTTTTCCGGTTTTGTAAATACTGTGAGTCTTATGTGCAATCTTTTGACAAAGGTATGTGCCTTCTGTTATATTTCCTTGGTAATACTAGAAATGTAAACCCTTTTCCGGCTTTGTGCTGTTAAAGAGACTGCTGTGAATTTTACATGCAATTTTTTGACAAATTAGGTTGCTGCTCAACAAGGTGCATATCTTTCTGGATGCTTTAATCATAGAGAGCGCTGTAAAACTAATCCAGAAGGTCCTCGCCGCTTTAGAGGTTCTGGGCGCCATGAATTTCGTCCCTTCCGGTACACAGGCTCATCTTTCTTTAATTGCTTTTCCCATTTTTCGCAACATTTTCTGTTTATTTTTTCGGTCACGGGATTGGATCCACAATGGTGAGTAAAGAGTGAGACCCTTGGAGGCCACATGAATTGGGGCATCATTTCCTAACATAATCTACCAGGGGAGAAATGTCTAATGAAAAGTTTATTCCCTCTACTCCACATAAGCAGTGGTCAGACGGGCCAGTTTTTTTTTTGGGCTCTTATACTGCTATTTATCTGGCTCTTGTACAGTTGGAGTCAAACTTGTTCCGAAAGCTTAGGCCCAAGCTTTTGCTTTAATCTTTGTATATGAAGCCATATCAACACTATAAACTGAACTTTTTGAAACATCAGTTAAAGTCACTGAAATTTTCTACATACCATTTATTTTGGTCTTCATTAACCATTACTTGCCATTATTTTGGACTCCAGGTATAGGCATCTCGGGCAATTTGCTCCTTTGGGCGGAGAGCAGGCAGCAGCAGAACTGCCTGGTGACTGGGTTTCCCTTGGTCGCAGCACACAGTGGCTCTGGTATTCCGTCTATGCAAGGTGATCATTTAGTTTCCATGAATGACATTGCTTTTCTTTACAGCATTGTGTGCTTCATTGGGTCTAAACCGCTCGATCATGTCACATTCAGCAAGCAAGTGAGCTGGCGTACTAGGGTTCTTGTGGTGTTTGATTGGACAAAGAGATTCATTTTTGGAAGAGATTCGAGCCGCATTTGAGGCAAAAACTTGGTGGCTCTCAACTTAAAAAGAACACTGGTTCTCCAATCCTGTGGTTTCTAATTTGTGGGCTTATTGTTCTGCCAGACTCTAGTTCTCCACTAGTGTTTGCTGTTTCTAATGTATATATTCTCTCTCTCTCTCAACATGGGATTCGAAAAATATGGCTGTTATTTTGGACTATGTGATTACTTGAGCTCTTTGATGGAAAAAAAAATCTTTGTTTTTGTGTGCAAATGTATGTGCATGGTCCTTTTTGGGTCTTCCTTTTGGTTAGACGACAGTATTGAAGGAGTTATCGAAGTTACAAGTGAATTGGAATTAGTTACGACTCATTTAAGGTAAAGGTATGGTTAAAAAAGTTTAATTACAACTTAATGAAATCAAGTTACGACTCAAAAAAAGTTGGAATCAATCTAAAAATGTGTTTGGATTGTGTCATTACCATCAACTTTTTCTGTCAGAGAAACAAAGAAAGTTGTCTCATTTCTGATTTGAAGTTTTACATTTTTTTCCCATAATTTTTTACCATGAAATGCGGATAAAAAGTTGACTATCACTTATCTATTTTTGACTGATATTCTTTTGTGCATCGGAAAATATATTCTGGGATTGGATCTTGGTTTTTTGCGAATGATGATTTTCCTGCTTATGTACTGGCTAATCATGTTTCCTGCTTATCAACCTTCCAAGGTCCAAGATGGATGAGATGACATCAGAGGATGAGGTCTATGTACATTGCTGTCTCACACATCATTTTGTGAAGAGTGTAAAATTCTTTATAAACGTAAATTTCGAACCTTCATTGTAACAATACATTTCAAAATCTTGCTGGTCTTGCCAAAATAGATATTGTAGAACAAGGATTCAAATGTCATTTCAGATGAAATAAATGGAAATATTCTGGTACTTCACTACTGAGTAAACAACACTTATTATTAACAAACAGCCTGTTCTACATCAATAAGAAGATTACAGGCCAAAGCCACAAATATAATTCGTAACCCCTTCCCGCTAGCCAGCAATGTTTGTACATGAGTTTTGTTATTCTCTCTGGTCAGATGTCTCCTATTAGCCTGCATCAGGAGCTAATGTAGTGCTTCAGGTGAAAAGTTGCCCACAGGGCTGCTGCTGGGTGCAATGTGGCTCCTCTTCCCGTCCTCTCTCCGTTGCTGCTGTGAAGTTCTTTGAGGCTTCCTTACTAATTCCTCAGTCAGCTGACCTTTGATTTTGGAGATTAGAGCAAAAGAACTCCGTATCCAGACCAAATGGATTATGGATTTGATCACCCTGAAAATGTGCAACTGACCTTGGCAATAAATCAACCTGAAAAATGTTATACAGAGGCATTTCATTGATCACTCCAAGACAGATATAGGTAGTTCATTGGTGTCAAAACACTCAGCCTTACATGCATGAACACTGCAAATGAGGAAGTACAAAGGCCAAATTTTGATTAGCGCTTCAGGTGTTTCCTGCTAGCATATGAAATGCCAAAGATGAATTTAGATTCCAATGTTTAACTCCATGAAGTTTATGGTACAGTGCAATGTTTTGAATTTAACAAAGTGAATTAAAAATGTAGGTGTAATTCTTATGCAAAATATTTCCTCTAAATACTCTGAGAAAGCTGTGAATTTACACGTTGAATTGACTCCCTTGCATGAAATTTAAACACCGGTACCGGCAAAGACAAGAAGGTACTGATGGGTGTGATAACTTCAGCACATCCAAATTCATGTTAAAGAAGGGAGCCATCATTATGATTGCCAATTTCAACATGAGCAACAAGGTTACAAATAGAGTACTGTAATTTTTCCACTGAATGGGACGAGAAAACATGAATTGGCAGTATATAGAAAGTATGTATCTACCAATACACCACTCAAAGTACACATAGCATCAGCCACCCTGCTAGGCTAATGCCCAATATACAAATGACTAGATGCAAATGAAACAAATTGGACCAAATTACTGAAAGAACTCAACATACTTCTACATTTTGCAGTATGTGGTTGACCATTGGAAGATGTGTTCATCACGAGTATACCTTCACTACAGAGCCATTATACATGTCTGAAAAAACTTATTTTGGGCAACTTTATAGCCTTTACCATTAAAGAAGCTATGCTGATATGACTGCTGTATTTATTAAACTTAAGTTGACTTGAGTTGAAAATAACTTACAAAAGACATAAAAACGCTTTTAGAAAGCTTTCTAGTAGATGCTTTTGCAAAGACGCTTTCAGAAAGCAGTCTTAGCTTTTGAAATGCTGCCGCAAACATGACCATTATCATACCAGCAGCACCAAGCTGAAGACAAGAGAAAGGTCTGCCAGGGTGGGAAAGGATCCTTGGAACGACCTGATCTCGTTAACATATTCATCATAGGGTAATTTAGACAAGTGACAAAGATATACCTTTGAACCTAGATCAGACTATACGGCATGCTGCACCTGCAACATCACAGCTGATCCTTCTCCAGAAGCCACAACAAATTGGGGAGAATGTTTACCTCCTGTACACTTCCAGATGGTTTCTGTAATTTAATACATGCCAGATCAACTAGTTGGCCAGCCCATGGCAACTCTAACTCCTTATAACCTGTCACTGCAGGAAACAAAACATTATCTATCTGTTACTAATTGAACCTTCATAATCAAATTGCATTGCCATTGGCGCAAGAAGTCACCATGGATTATTCATGTCTTCTATGTAGAATATTTGATAATTTTATCGTTAACCAGAAGCTCATGAGCATGATTAAGCAACATTAGCAAAAGGTCTAAACTGTTAGACATTGTTATGATCCTGGAATTCCTACATTAGAGATTTTAGATTGATGAAATTAAATATTCTATTTATTAGCAAAGAATTGCCTACCAATATTCCTAGCCACTCAGTAAGGGACTTGTATTTCAACATATTCTGCTACCTGTACAGGGTAATGAGTTACAAGATAATAATCAAAAATCATTTGAAATGGCAGAATAGTTGAGAGCAAATGGCAAAAACATGCATACCAATGTCAATTGTCAAGTGCTATACATGAAGGGTCCTTCGACAGCAATACCTGCTTGAACAAACTGCTGTCCTCTAAGACAATATAGTTATCAAGAACTTAAAACCTCAAATTTTTAATTGCTGGACTATCTGCATTTTCGTTTGAAATCTTTTGGACCCACAAGATCTGAAAGACATGTATTCATCTCCTCCAAAAAGTTCATAGCCAACTCCAACTTCCCCATCTTCTTTAGACTATCGATTAATGATCTATAAATGTAAATAGATGGGCGGATCCGCCTACACTTCATGTCATCAAAGAGTCTCAAGGATTCGTCAATGTTCCCTGAACGACCAAAGCTGTCAATCAATGCAGTGTAAGTCCGCAAATCTGGTTCAACTCCTCTCTCACCCATTTCTTTCAAAAATACTAAGCACAAATCTAGCCTTCCTACTTTCCGCAAGCTGTTTATTAATGTATTGTAAGAAACAATGTCTGGAATGAAGTTGGCCTCTTTCATGGATGCAAATTCATTGAGCATTTCATCTATTCGTTCAGCACGACCCAAAATACCTATCACCGTATTATATGTGATCAAATCTGGTTTACATTTCAGACTCTTCATGTTATCAAATATCAGCAGGGCCATATCAACCTGTTTACACTCACCAAAGGCAAATATGATCCTATTCATAGTTGTTGCACTTCCTGGAAATGTCAGCTCTGAGACCTCCTTGATAAATCTCAGTAGAAGGACAGAATCATTTATCTTTGTAAAAGCCCTCGCAATATTTAGATAAGACTTTGAACTCATATACTCACATGACGCCAATAGATCCTTAAAAACCTGTGACAGAAGGTCAACATCATTTGCTTCACCTGCTGCTTCCAAGAGGAGATTATATGCATGAGTGCTGAGGAAGAAGTGTTTATCACGTAAAGACTGCAGTAGCCTGGCAGCAACTGGAAGATTTCTGGCTCTGCAAAGCTTGTCCACGTAAGTATTACAGACTTCCCTGCTGGATGCTGGAGAATTCTCTATTTCAGAAAGAATTTGATTCAAGAACTCATCAGTCGCTCCCTCTTCAGAAGGAGAGGCTTGGGTTGTTATTGATTGGTAATGGCCATTAGAACTACCAAAGAATGGCATGGATTTAATATAATTCTGTATTAGAAATATAACCACTAATTATCAGAACTAGAAAAAAATTCGTAAACTTAACAAGTAGGCCTATCATTAATTTCATAAGAAAAATCCAATATAATTTAGCACTTAGAATTTTATTACACCTCACAATTAGAAAAAAAAAACCCCCTCCCTTCTCAAAATGACAAAAATGCCTTGGATTAATCGTTCACCAATAAATTAGGAAAACAAAATTCATAAAATCCAAATTATAAAGAAGTGGTTATCATGGTCATGATTGAAAATAAAATTTGCTAACCATAATAGGGGCACAAACAAATTGCGTATGGATAAATATTGGCAGTTAATCCCTGGGTTTGCCAAATCCAATGGAGTCTGGGCTTGGTCCAACCTTAGCTTTAAGGCTCATTACGTATGAGTTGCTCAAGGCTGGAAAATTAAATTACAACCTAGAAGATCTGGTCGATAATATAATAGCTTTGCACATGACAAACTTAACTAGGTAATCACTCTCTCTCAAAATTCAGTCCCTATCAAAGTCAAACATTCCCAGATATGCATTGTATAAATATCTTATGACTGTTTATAATAACCAACAACCTTAGTATTACTTGTCGTTGTTTCTCCACAAAGTTTCTTCAAACGATTTCCTTAAAAGTTCATCACATGAGAACAGCAAGATGCTTCACTCAACTGGCGAACACTTTTAACAAGCATAAACAAACCGAGCAAGGAAGGACAGTGTTCTTCGAGCAGGTTTGTCAGACTAGTGAGAGAGAAAAAAAATTAGAACCATTCAAACAGCCCTTCCCTTTGCATAACAACAAAAAGATGATGATTATTGATTAAAACCACTATTCTATCACTAATACTGTTGGGAACTTATAATTTGACTTAATACCTGACCTAATAATATGTCTGCCATGGTTTGAATGAAAAATGCAAACAACTGTAGTTATAGAAATGCTATTGACACCAAATAAAGAATAATTCAACCTAATTTCCTGACTTAATGATGTGTCAGTTGGTCAAATGGTATCGCTTCTCGTATACTCCTACATTCTACTTCCTTCTTGCTAAAAACTCACTTTCATTTGATTTTATTTCTTTCTATCAACTACAAAATTTTCAAAAGTTTGATAATCTACTTTGAAGTTTTTTTTGGCTTGATAAAAGAGAAAGACAAGTCCTTTCTAAAATTCGTACACACCACTATTACCATCAATAGTTGACTCTCATCAGCTAAGAATGGCAGAATTCCACCAATTTTAGATTTTCTAAGAAATTGCGAGTTCCACACTGATCATATCCACAGATAAAATTGAGCCTATAATCTCATTCGTTGGCCATTGTCATTTTCTACTCGTCTATGTTTAACTTTAACCTAAATATTGCCTGAATTTGTTTTGTCGAAGTTATAACAGATAAAAGCAATCTACAGCTACGAAAGGTGTTAGGAAAAAAAATTAAGGCATATCAGCTATCAGTACTGCTATCCACTGTAACAATAACATTATATCTGGATGAACAATGCATATTTCAATCTCGAACAGGTTCTACAAGGCTGAAAACGGCCCCTCAATTATACACAGATCAAAGTAAAATTACAAACCCAGATTTTTTTTTTTTTTCCAAGTAGTGAAACTTTGAATATTTTTTACGAAGAATTAAAATTACCAAGTAAACAAGAATTCATGATAAGAAAATTCTATCCTCAATTTAAGGCGCATGTCCCTCCCTTTATCCTGAAAATTAAAGGTTATTTTTTAAAATTAGGGATGTGGCCTAAGCAAAAATGGGCGTGGATTTCACAATCAAATAATTTCACACCCTTAACAATACATTTATCTACACATGGATCTTTCCCACACACATATACACCACAATCAATTTGAGCAACAAAACAACAAGCCATAGAGCAAATAATGAAGCATGAAATGGGTAAAACTGGAAAAATTCGGAGCTTCAAACTTACAGTAAGTCGGTAATTTCTGAACCTATGCATCAAATGGAAAGCTGAGATATACCGAATAAAATGTTTGTTGGAAACCTTAATTGCCTGGGCATTTAATCGTCCTCCGATAAGATAACAGTTCCGGCAACACGAAGCCGTTAACAATGCGGAGATGTATAGCTTCGATTTGTATTTTGAAATAGCGAGCATATTTGTACAGATTTCAGAGATTTTTGCTCAGATTGACCTAGGGTTTTTGCTTATGAAGCTTGAATAAAGGCTCCGATTGAGGGTTGGGGTCTGCGGTGGAGGTGGGAGTTGGACATGGTGGTTGGTTAATCACTCTCACTCTCTCAGAACTCAGAAGGTCAAAAACTGCCGATGTATCTATGTTGAACAGCTGAAGCAATATAAGGCTGTGTTTGGTTGCAAGAGCAGAAGGCAGAAGGCAGAAGGCAGAAGGTTTAATGTTTAATGGATTTTGCTTCTTCTTTGTTTTTTTCTTTTTTCTCTTTTTATTTTTGGGTAATGTTATTTGAAACTTAAAATTTTAACTTAATTTATTGATATAATAATATAATTTTATTATAATAATTAGATTAACACAAAATTTTAATATTTTAGGAGGACTTATCGTCAAACTAATAATTATAAAAAATTAAATCAACAAAATAAATCAATAAATTAAACCTTAATAGTAATATTTTTTTGAGGGTCAAATTGTGCTCGGGATTGGGTGTTTGGAGATTTTAGTACAATCTCAGGTAGTCCAACTTTGATTCGAAATTCTATTTAAATTCATTTGAATAAAACATTTAATTTGATAAAAAAGAGTTTTAATGGACAAATTTAAATTTAAATAAAAATAAACTTAATTTAACTGAGAATGTATTGTATAAAAAATGAACAATATAGAGGCCTGTTTGTTTAATGACTTTGGGTGGAATGGAGGGTTGAATAAAAACATTCCAATGAACCATGATATCCCATGCTAGGATACTTTATCTGAGCCCCACGATTGGAATCCTGGCCTATAACACGCCTTTAAGGTAAATGGTTGGCGCACGTGTATATTGCACGCTAATTATTTTATTTTTTTGTAAAAAAAATTAAATAAATTATACCAATTTTTTTTATATTTATATGGAGATAGTTATTAAATTTTACGAGCACACTTGCTCCCTATTAATAGACGGTTACACAAATTGACACTTCTGACACGGGATAATTGTTACGCTCAATTTTTTTTTCATAATTTAGCTTGTATAAATTGATTTGCATAAAGTTAAAAAAAAAATTGAATTGCATTACATTACATTTAAAAACTATATTGTTTAACTTCAGTAAGTTATTAATAGATGGATGACTACTTAAATTTTTGGACTAATAAGAAGTTACAATATTAGATTATTATTGTCTTTTTTTATCTTTTTAAGGATAATATTATCAATTAAGTTTTTTCTGACAAGTATTGATATTCAAAAGTAATATATAGATTATTAAATTTATTTTGAATATTTATTTTTTTAGTGAATTTGAATATATATTGCGTACCTACAAATATGCGATGTAATTTGGTGATTATTTAATAAAATTGAGTAGAAACCTATGTGTTAAATGTTAAAATCATTTTTAATCAATTTATTCAGATCAAAACATATATCTATTTTAACGGACTCATTTATGCACTGTGAAAAATAAAATTCATTGGACAATTGAATTGGATTCGGATTACATTGTTCAAATTGGATTTGAATCGAATATATATTAATTGAAAAGAAGATAATCAAAAGTCAAACAACGAATTTATTAGTTTAATTAATGTAACTAATAAAAAAATAAAAAATTCCTCAAAAATGTATGAAGTAGACATTATATAGTTTTTGAAAGATATATAAGAAAATTCAAAAGTTTTGCTCTTAAATCACTTTAAAAAAGATAAAGTAGACATTATAGAATTATTAAAGGATATATAAGAAAATTAAAAAATTTTCACTTAACATACTTTTATTAGTAGTATAGATATAGATATAGATATAAATATAAATACTTTAAAGGGTTTGGGGTATGAGAAATATCGCATCTCTGACTTCTTTTTTGTGAGAGGACGTACTTGAACATTAGACGACTCTCAAGTATTCTTTAAAATGTAATTATTTTACCATAAGTTTATATCGACTATTTTCTAGAACTCTTTGTAGTAAGAGTGACTAACTCTTAAATGGTGTGAGAATATTGATCTTGAAACCTCTTATTTAAGAAGATATACTTGATCGCTTAACCATGTCTTTAAAATGTAGTTTACTTTGCATAGATTCATTCATATTTTGTAATTAGTTCTACGGTGGAAAAAATTATATTCCACAAGTTGTTTTTCTTACAGAACCAATCTGTTTAAATCTTGGTCTCTCCTAGTTAAATAAAAAAAAATCTTGATCTCTCACACGAAATTTTTTAGGGGCTTAGGGAGGCCGGTATCTCTCTAAGAATTTAATACGACAAAAGTATACTTTTTAAAATATTTGGGATAGAAGTACATCTGTTAAAAAAAGTCATAAAAACCCTTTTAGATAAGAAAGATGAAGAGACATTTGATTTTGGGAAGCAACAATGCCAAAGAGTCATTAATGACAATTTCCAAAACCAAACCTTTCCTAAAATTTTTTGAATTTCAAAGATTTTGTGATTTCAATCATTACCATCAAATATATATATAGTAGCACAATTATGAAAACTCTGCACCGTAGTCCTTAGTGCATACTTTTTACGTAGACTGTTGAATTACGATTTAATGGCTACCAAACAAAGATACTCAAAATTTATTGTCAAAACCTACCTAATTTAGTTTTTAACTAAGTAGGAAATATCTATGACTTATTAATTGTAATCTAGTCCTACAAAGAAAGCTTTTAAGGTTAGTACAAAAAATTCTTTTTTTATTAATTAGTATTGAACATATCGAACCTAATGACCTAGACGATTTTTATTTCATATCTATATTTCCCACCTAATTTATTATACCTGTTTGGATTAAAAAAAAAAAAATACCTCTTCAAACACATCTTCTCTCACGTCAATCTTCTATCAACTACAAATCTTATACTCAAACCCTCCTGACGACTCTTTTTGTCGTCTATTCATTGACTCGGATAATTTCATCATGATTCAGGCCCTTTGCTACACTTAAGCTGTTAGAATAGTTTAATCAGTCGGTTACTTAATTGTTTAGTTGGTTAAATAATGGGTTATTAAAGGCTTTGGTGATGTAGTTTCTAGGTTAAAAGTCTAAAAGTGGTGGTATTGATGAGTTATATTCGACAAATTGATTTAATATACCAGTGTCATTTTTAGAATTTCAATTTAATGCTTAAACCTTTTTTTTTATTGGGGACAAAAGTGCAATATGTTCGTCAAATTCCACTGTATAAATATTATATGTCAATGTCTTTTTAAAGTTGGTAATCAATTATAGATTTTTTTTTGGGAGGTAATTTGATGTGTGATTATATTGTATCCATTCAATAGGCTTTCTATGCAAATGTGAAAAATTGACATAGCGACAAATATAGAAGAGATTGAAATCACACCTTTTGTGCGTACAAATGTAAAACCATTTTTTATGAAAGAATTCAATTATATTGATAAAACATTTGCTTTTTACAATGCCAATGTGAGGATTTTTGACATACAATCCTAATTTTAAACTTAATAAGCACTAATAATTGTAAAATTGTGGTATTAAGAGGACAAAGTGGTGTTTATATAATTAACCAAAAAAAAAAAAGAGGAATAATTGGTAATTTGACCAAAGAATTGAAAATACCTATAGCCCATTATGTTTATTTTTAACCCCAAAAGGTGTAATGAATTAGATGGATAAAACCATCGTGGCAGTGCAACACCGGTACAAACTAGCAGTAATTCTTTGACATGAAACTTGGGAAACCATTCTGTCGTTGGGTTAGAATTTTTAATAGATGGGTAAAGATAAAAACCATCCAGTCATCGGATCGATTCATTAATATTTAAGAGGAATCAATAATTTTTTTATTTATTAACCTTTAAGACTTTCCTTATAAGACTAGATCACAACTAATAAGTCATAAATATTTCCTATTTAGTTAAGAACTAAATTAGGTAAGTTTTGACAAAAAATTTTGAGCATCTTTGTTTGGTAGTCATTAGATTGTATTCCAACGATCTATGTAAAAAGTATTCACTAGAGACTATGATGCAGAGTTTCATGATCACATTACTATATATATGTGTGTGTGTGTGAAATTTCAAAATTCAAATGAAACACAAATATCAAATTTTTTTTTAAAAGTATCACATTCTAATATTTAGATATTGAAAATATAAAAGTTGTCAATTAAATATGCACTATTTATGGTAGGGGTAATTAGAGAATATATTTCAAAAAAAATTTAAAAATATTTTAAAATGTGTACTTATTGATAATTATTTTGATAAAAAAAAAGATTTAAAAGAGAATAAATTTGAAAGTGTTACTTAAATTCAAATAAGTTCTAAAAAAGATACTTCATTCCATTATCTCAACTTTTAACTCTCAGCAAAAAGCCTGCGGCCCATTAGCCCACTAGACCATAGGCAACACAACTAACAAGTGCGGCCCATGGGCGGGCTGTTTGAAATCCCAAGTTGTTGGGTCATGAGCAATGAAGGATCCTCCAACTCTCTCTCGAATAGGCAAGATCTATACAATTCAACAGATTCAGCAAATTGAATTTTTTTTTTTAGTATTTGAAATTACAAATTAACGGAATCTACTGATGTGTATAAATCTTGGCCTTTTTAGAGAGAATTACAGGATTCTCCAATTCTTATTCAAATGGAGGGAAGCTGGACCTTTTAGGAGCCAATTGAACAATCAATGGCCCGGTTGTCAGGACTATATTTTGCCATGGTTTGTTGACTGGCTAGTTGGGGTAGGCCCAACCCACCCCATCGAGGATGTCTATGAATATGGTTTTCCTTGCATTCTTACAACCAATCTACTATATTTGTTAGATTAAAAGTGGATTTCATCTAACATTAAAACTCAAAATTAATCTAATAATTATATTGAATTAGGTCCTCAAATTAAGTCCGGTAGCATTGCTTGTTCATAGTGTGGTGGTCCTAGTAGGGGTGACATGTAGAAACTTCTTCCTAGCCACAAACAACAGCATCAGAAATAGGGTGTAAAACAGAAATTTTGAAAGCAAAATCCAATGTAAGTGTATCTGATATCATAAGTTATAGGCCTAACTGGTACACTGACATTGGGGTTTGCTTTCAAAATTGCCGTTATTGCAGGCCTGCCTTGTTCTTGCCATCAATAGCTTTAAGTTAGCAAAGTGTACAAAAACTTATATCACAGAAAGAATATTACATAGAAAGTCGGCTTGTTCTCAATCTAAGTGAATCAAAATGCATAGACTCATATTGGTCTCCCCAATGCATTTTTCCTATAAATAGTCACCTAGACAAGTACCCATTCAAGAAAAAAGTCGGTCATTAACTCGAAGAAAAAGAAATAAAGATCATCATGGTTCAATCCAATAACCAAGCAGCAAAGCTTTTCAACTTGGTTCTAATTCTCTCTCTTCCGTTTTCCATAATTTCCATGGCTGAGACCAGACAACTTGGCAGTAAGTAATGTTTATGGTCAAGAAGAGTTATTAGTGTGCTAAATTTTTTCTATTTTCCAAAGATGTTTCTTAAATAATGATTGTTATTTGTTTTTCAATAATTTCATGATAATGCAGTTGGGTTTGGAAAGTCAGAATCGACTCCAGTTTGTAACTCAGTATATGGTGCGCAAGAGGGTGATACTTGCACAACTGTTGCCCAGAAGTTCAATTTGACACTCAACTTCTTCTTGGAGATCAACCCCAATATCAACTGCGATAGCTTCTTTGTGGGTCAATGGCTTTGCAAGGATGGGTCGGTTTCTCATTGAATTGGAATTGCCGAAGGATTCGTACTCTAAGCAAACAAAATTTGCATAAATAAAGAGAGCAAATGCTCATTCTTCTGATGTATTTCCTTTTATTTTGTCACTGGCCATTATTCTTTGTATTCATTCGATTCAGAGTAATGGCATAATAAGATGCACCATTCTGCATTTCTTTTTCAATTCTCTTGATTAGGGGTGTTCACCCTACCCTACGGGTAGGAAATATGTTATTCCGTCTTCCTACTCGATACTTTACGAAAGAGTTTTTTATTGGCCTACCCTACCCGACAGGTGTGGTATTCTTACTCGATTTCCTATCCGATTAATCGGGTAAGAAATCAGGTAAATATTTTTGTAACAATTAATTTTTGGATTATTTTAACAATTTAATTTAAATAACATGTACTAATTTAACAACACAATAAATAAATTAACACTAAAATCTAAAATAACTACAACAAGAATTATAATAAAACATAAGAAAGTATGAACATCAATCCACCATAATTGTTACACAAATACAATAACAATTAATTTAAGTTTAAACTTTAAATCATATGAAATACATTAAAATCATAATTACTCCGCCTGTGATTAGGGTTTTTTCGGTTTTTATATATATATATATTAAAAAATTATTGTGGGTAGGGTAAGGTAGGAATGCGAAAATGGATGACTATTTCGCATTCCTATCCGAAAATTTTCGAAAGACCAAAAATTTTTTCGCATTTCTACCCAATTTTTGCGTAGTAGGATTAGGTAAGAATTTGCGACCAGTCGAAGATTCGAACACCCCTAGTCTTGATTACCAAATGGCTGTTGTGTCTCAATAACTTATATAAGCACTACCCAGGTTGAAGCTATATTAGCCAAATTCAAAAGTCTTGTGTAGATTAACATTTCTAATCCCAAGATTGAAGAATCCATGCATAAGCAAAGCAATGAAGTAGATGACATAATGGTAATTAAAAAGGCCCTTATCTGCAAGTTTAAAGTCTAAAAAGTCAGCTTTGAAGAAGTCTTCTTCATTTGTCTTTGGTTTTTTTTGGGTGCAATCTTCACTTGTCTTTTACTGTAACGCCTCCTTGCAGAATTTCTTTTTCCAATTTCAGCGCCGAAACGGTGCCCAACAAATCCCTCCAGCTAATTACTTTTCAAGCCACTATCTTCCAACAAATGTCGACTAAGTCTTACTGCATAAGCCACAACGGTGCAACTACAGGGGTGGCTCAAGCTAATACGAGGTCTAAATTGATACCATTGAATGAAGTCTTTTTATTTTTACTACTAAATTTTTATATTTAAAATTAATTTATTTTGAATTTTTTACGTGTGTGAGAGAGATGGAAAATGTGTTACACTTTGTAGAGAATAAGAGGGAGTGCCGGTGTTATCGTAGAGAATGTTTTAACTTTCGTCTTTATTTTTTACCCGATTAGGGGGGGGAGGAGTCAGTTTGGGGCCACTGGAGTCTGGAGATTGTTACCGGAGTGAAGTCTCGGCAATTGGGTAAGCACGAGATCATTACTCGGACCTTTGTCATAGCACTCAATTGCAAGTTTGCTCAATCTTTTTCACTGACTCTCTATTTACAACACACTGTGCACCATAAACTTTGGTGGCACTACCCTTCTTAGCTTTTCGATAACATTTGCATTTTTCTCAAGCTTTTCGATTTTCAGAGCGTCTAATCTGGATGACAAACGACTAATTTCTTTCTTATTCTTGTCTATTTCCTCATCAATATTCTTTTCATATCGATCCTATTTTTCGCGTTTACTCTTCGAAACCACATTTTCAAGAAGACCCTGTTTGGGATAACAATTACTTTCCTTCAACTGTGAGTTCACGACAGAGTTGTTTGGGTGAAGTGGCTTGATGGGTACATAGATTTGACAGAAACAGAGGATTTCTCAAGCAGAGGACTTGGATTTTCTTTGCTCGAGAAAGAGTTAAGAGACTCAGACGGGTAAACCAAGATTGCTTTCAAAGGAGACCAAGAATCTCTTATTTGTGCTGAATCTTCTAATTCACCGTTGTCGAATGCTGCATTGTTCCATATCTGAAGATCAAAGTTGTTCATGGCTTCTGGGTATTCTAGAACACTCATTTTTCTGTAATAGTTTCCAAAAATTTTCAGATAAAGAGAGAGAGTGGTGTTTTCTTGCGTTCTTGGAGGGGTTTCTTAACAGAAATTGATCAGAGAGGAGGAGCAAATTGAGAAAGGTTTCAAAATTACGGGAAAATTTCTTCGTATGGTGGGTTTTTCGACATTTGGAGAGAAAATTGAAGGTAAAATTCCATTTTGCCACCTGAACGATATAACAATTCTCAGTTTACCCCCTCCACTTCATTGTCCTTTCAAAAAAATAAAAATATTGTAATGCAGTTCATGATCTTATTTTCATTTGGTTTTTTTATCTATTTTGTGTCAAATCAATTAATTAAAAATTACAAAAAAGATGTACGAACAAACGGAAATAAAACAGTGAACCATATTATAATATTTTTATTATTTTAAAAAATAATGTGAAAAAATTAATCATTCGAAGACCAATTAAACTTTTTTTTTATCTTTTTAGTGACAATATGGGATTTATGCTGTGGTGTCTGAGCCACCTTGGCCGTTGGGTGTTCAACGACAATCACAGAGGCTCCGATTTGATATCATGTCACCGCGTTGAAGTTATTTGTCCTTAATATTAATTAATTAGTTATTGTGAAGGCACGTAACAATAAAAAATAAAAAATAAATTTATATTTATATTCATATTTAAAATCAAATCACAAACATAAAAAAGAGATAAAATAATTTAAGCATCGATTGTAGTGGGAGTGAGAGATGGTGGGCGACAGTGGTAGTGATAGAAGACGGTAATGATTATAGTAGATGATAATGACTGTGGTGGTAGTGGCAATGGTGAGGGTGACGACAGTAGAGGTGGCGACAACGACGGAGACGAGACGACGAAAGAAGTGGTGGTGGTGGCGGTGGCGGTGAGGTGGGAGTGGCGACGATGATGGTGGTGGCCTTGACAGTGGTGGTGGAAGTGACGGCGACAATGGTGGTGGTCTTGGCGATGGTAATGGTGGTGGTGATGACGATGGTGGGGTATGGTAGTGTTTGAAAAATATAATTTAAAAATTTTCAAACATTATTTTTAAAAAAAAATTATTTATGAGAAATAATTTCTATAAGTATTTTTAAAAAGTCACTCAAAACACACTCTTATGAGTTTATTTTTCCTATTAAATTTAGAGTGTTAATATTAGTCGTTAGATTAACTTTAAAGTAAAATTTAAATCGATCTCAACTACGAATAACAAAAGTTATTTTGTTTATTTTTAAAATTTAAATTATAAACTATTTTATTATATAGAATATAATTTGATCAGTTTAAAAAATAGTTTCAAATGGTTTGACAATAACTTAACCCATTTATGAATTACGTCATATTCGGTTTGAAACAGTTATGAATCATTTCATACTCTCAAACCCAGATCAACCACTTTTGTGCTCCCTCTTTTGCTCTCGCTTCCGTCTCTGCTTTGCTCTATGTGGTCTAGATCTCACTCCCAAAATAATTGCTATTTTGTTAAAATAATTTCTTCACCACAATTTGAAAAAAAAGAAAAGAAAAGAAGAGATGAGCCCACATTAAGCCAGGAGAGAAAGTAATGCACAATGGTGTGTTTAATTATGCCATTACTCTGAAGTAAGTGGCAATCAAGAACAATGGTCAGTGCAAAATAGAAGGGAGTAGTAATATATCAGAGCAATGAACCTTTGCTCTCTTTTTTTATATGGAAATTCTGAATATAAATCCTTCAGCACTTCAACTCAACGGGACACAGATCCATCCTTGCAAAGCCATTGAGCCACGAAGAAGTTATCACAGTTGATATTGGGATTGATCTCCAGGAAGAAGTCAGAGTGTCAAATTGAACTTCTGTGCAACAGTTGTGCAAGTATCACCCTCTTGCGCATCATGTACTGAGTTGCACACCACAGTTGATTCTGACTTCCCGATCCCAACTGCATTATCACAAAGTTATTGAAAAAAATTTCGATCATTAAGAATGAAATCTAATGCGGTATCTATCCTAATATTTCATAATCGATTATATTTTTTGAAGTTATAACTTAAATTTCAAAAAAATTGTAACTTAATTTAAAAAAATTATAATTTTCAATATTGATACGATTTATGGTACGGTAGAAATTCCCCTATCAACTGAGGACTTTTCTGGACCAAACCAGCACTTACTGCGAAGTTGGCTGCTCTCAGCAGTGGAAATAATGTGAAGGAGAAGAGAGTGAACTAGAACCAAGTTGAAAAACTTGGCTGATTTGTTGTGGGACTGAGTCATGATGATCTACTTGTTTTTGTTCAAGCTAATGAAGCTCGTTTTTCTTGAATATGGTCATGTCTAGATGACTATTTATAGGAAAAATGCATTGGTAAGGCCAATGAGCCAATGAATTTTGGGTCACTCAAAAGTTTTACCCTAACCCATTGGGTTTTTAAATTTTATACCCAAAAGAGGATAGTTTTCAAACTATTTTTCAAATCTATGCCCTTTTAAAAACGTCAGTTGAAATGACGTTTTCTATATAAAAACATTAGACCAACTAACGTTTTCTTTTTCAATGAAAATGTCAGGTGGACTGAAATTTTCAAAACTTCAGTTTGACTAACGTGTTCTAAAAACGATGGTCTGAGTAAAAATTTTTGATCGATGAGTTTCAGTGTCCAAAATTTTGATTGATGAGTACAAACTAAATGATTTTGTTAGTAAAAATAAAAAGGAATAATCAAATTGAGTTCTTGAATTTACCTCGGTCAGTTTATGGGCCAATAAATGATTTTTATATTCGAAACCCATCAGAAGAGGTAATGCGCGAGAAATCATACAGAAATAATCGACTCTTCGGATGCCAATGTTGTTATTGACTAACGTTTTTAAAGTTTTTCTCCATTTCTTTTTCATGAGTAAATGTT